CCAGTCGAGCTTCCCCGGGACGAACTGTTATGACATCCCCAGTTGAGTTATGCTAGGCTCGTCTGCGGTACCCTGCCTGCTCTTGACATATCTTGGCGTTTCTGCGACGATGCCATCCTGTCTCCTTCTCCCTAACTATGCAGAATGCTAGCACGTCTTCTCTCTGCCTCACTCATAACGGACCTCAGAGCCCATTGTCTCATTCGGAGAGTGTTTCTGTGCTCAGGAATTTCCCCATCTCAGGCTGCTATTCATCATCGTCTCCCAGGACCTGGGTTTCATTTCTCCATAATGCAGTGCAGGAAGGTGGAACCTCTTGAGGATCCGGGAGCGTCTCCCATGGTTCCCTTCGCCAGGATGCAAATATCAATAGGAGACACTGAAGTGCAATTGAAAGGAGTGATCAGACACTCCACATTACTCTTCTTTTTTCAAATATTTATTTCTCTTGTTTCTTTAAAAACGATCATTTCTAAACCTTAACTTAAAAGTAAAATAAGGAGTCCTCTTTTTTGCTGAAAAGTTTGATTCATTCACTTTGGACACTATTCCGATGCGTAGTTTTATCACATAAAAACAGATGTGTACATTTCCACCACAGGATTGAAAGACAAAAATTGTATTTTCCTCTGGAAAACGTGGTCTCCAGCAGCAGGAAAGAAACAGCTTAGTAAAGACTTTATACAGAATACAAGTAAACACCTTCAATGGAGGAATTTGATTAAAAACATGAATAAACAGGAGAAAGGAACGAGTAGATTTGAGATGGACATCCTGAAGGGAAGTCTCTTTGATGTACCAGATTGTCTAGATCTCTCTATATGACAAATAAAGAAAGGCTGAGTCAACTTGTGGTCAGTTTGAGCGCTTTCTCAGTTTCCCTTCTTCTTCCCACTGTGACCACCTGACTCAGAGACCTCCCAGGCCAGCTGTTCTTCATTCACAATTACCTCCAGAGAAGCCAGCTCTAAGTGAAACTCCCCAGACTTTCTGTGTTGTTTTGCTTTGGCTGCCGTAGTTGTGCTTGAATGTTTTTGGCTCCCACAGTGTGTGACCTGTTTGGAGTGTTAATGTTTTCTTTTCGCTTAATAAGCTGACATCGACGAGATGAGTCCCGCTGCTTGTCTCTTTTCTTGACTTCATAATGATAATTTCTGGTGTGGTGTGATTGGTTAAGTCAAGGACTAAGACGCAGACTACCTGGATGGGGTTAATTTGTTTTTGATTTATCCAGAAAATCCGTGTTGCATGGCCTTGGGATACCTTGATTTGAAATGAAACTTTCTTATGACACTTATATTGTGGATCCATGACTGCAATTTAAGAGAGCGAAAGCATTTTAAACATGACCACAAAATCATCTGAACCAAAACCAAAAAAAAAAAAGACATGTGCCAACAAATTAAATGAGCTTATGCATAGTTTTATGTTCAATTTTTATTTTTATTTTGTTCTGACCTGAATTTTGAAGGTTTGGGAAATGATTTAGTTTGATGATGATTTAATAAAAAGGGGGCGGAGCTTGAGTTAGAGCACACTTGAAATTCCCTCCTTTCAGATTCAGTAAATGTGTGACTGGCACAAACTAACAATGTTGTGTGGTCATATTATAGCAACATGGGAAAGGAACATCTGGTTGAACAGAAAATGTCAAATAATAGGATTTTTGAATATATATTATTATTTACCTTTTTGATGTTGTCCAATGGTTGACACAAGTCTGGACATTTAGCAAGAAACTAGGAGGCTTTTCTTCCAATTGCATGACCGAGCAAGTGAATGGCCAAAATCTTATAGTGATTGTAAATCAATGAGTTCCATGAAAATCGATAGACTATCCAAACGTTCAAAAGTTTTGTATATTTCACCGCAGCGAGTTTTGCACAGCACAAATGTTTACCTTGGCTCTAAACGCTCATGACGATACAGTGGGCGTCGACTTCCAGAAGCGATCTGTGTTGGTGCTGCTTGTGCAGCTGCTTTCTTGTTTAGTTAAAAATATCCAAATTCTCTGGAAACTTTTTTTTTCCACCAAAGGCCTTCTGCTTGCATTTTTGTGGTTCTCTTGTAGTTTATTTTATTATTTTTTATTTGATAAGGGGTGTGTGTGTGTGTGGTGGGGGATATCACCTTGGTGGAATCTCTGCTGCTTGTGGGATGACTGTGTTCCTTTTAATGTGGCCTTATATGGATTTGAGAATGTGTGAAGTAAAATGTGGCCAAAAGTGTCGACTACCTTGCATGGAATGAGGAAAAATAGCTTGTAAAGCACACTGATTCCAGCTGGAGTGTTCTCACAAACCACCCAGAAGGTGCGTCTCAGCCACCTCTAAAAAAAGAAAACATCAACACAGAAGAGGGTGGATGGGATGAGGGGATTAATTTAAAAAAAAAAAAGTAACAAGGCTTCAACATGAACTAAGTTTTTCTTCATTTTATCATTTACTAATTGAAATCATAAATGGCTTTTATGAAGGAGGGGAAGAGGAAGTAGTAGGGTGACATCACCAGATGTCAGGTTTTGATGAACTGCTTTGGTAAAGTGCTGCTTCAGATCAGCCTTTGTAAACACAAAATGAAGCCAGAACAGCTTTGTTCAACGAAAACAGGCCATGGTCGTTGTTGGCTTTTCTTTGCATGTTTCCACACCTGAAACATGGCAGTAACTTTTATCAGCTGTTTTTGGCACATGCGGACCCCGAAAGGCTTCGCTTGGATCCCGTTGTCAACCAGATTTACCCGTGAGAAACCTCTGAAAAGTCGAAACAGAATCCAACATGTCGCAGCAGCCTCTTGAATGCTTCGTCTCCCCCAGAAGTACAATTTATACTGAGAATAAACAGGCTCAGGTTATTAGCTGGGTTGCTGTGAAGGCAATTTCTTGCAATGGATTTGCTTTGTATCAAATCACCAGTTTGCTGTCTTGCAAATTTTTGGGATTATTAAAAGTATATTCATTCATTCTTTGAGAAGTTTATCTATATAGACCCTAAAGTGAGATGTAAAGGATTATACTTTGAAACTACACTTTTGTCCCCCAATTGGTTACCAAGGATATGAAATTGGTGTAACAAAGCCACCTACAGCCATGCAGATATTTCACAAAGTCATTATGGGAATATTAAAAAGGTACATATTATTAAACTACATGTAATAAATCAGGAGAGTTGTGACGGACACCTTAATTATAGAGAGCTTTTCTTACTTTATACGAAAGTTGTCCCCTTGCTAGCAAGCCCGTCTTTTAATTTCCATCATGGCTTATAGATTATGAACATGTAAAACTGTTTCTGAAATTACAACATTGCATATGATCAATAAAATGGTAGTTTTATTTGAAAAAGTGTACATTTCTATGCTGTCATGCCTGGTTGAGCTTCCTTCCTTTTGCATGAATTACTACATCGATGCTGTGTGGCACTGCGTCGGTGTGAAGGAAGCACTAATTGCTTAGAAATTGCAGCCTTCAGGTTCTCTGCATTGTTAGGTTTGGTGTCTCTCGTCTTCCTCTTACCAGGTTGTAGATTTTCTATAAAGGGGCTGGGGAGTTTCCTGGCCAATCGAGAACAGGAACACAATGGCTATTTAAAAAAATTTTGGTTTATTGGGCAGTTTGTGCAGGTGCCAAGTCCAGCTAGAAAAGAAAATCTGTGTCTCCATGCAGCTTGTCCGTAGAGAAAAACGTGAAGTGCTTTAAAATAGAATGGAAAATGACCACGGTGACTGTGGAACCCCAAACCTTAAAGGACCGGCGACAAGTTACCGAGGACTGTGGAAACATCAGAAGGAAGTTCAAGCGATGTTGATTCTGTGCATCCACACTCTTGGGTCACAATGTCCAAATAAGATGCAAAGTTCATCTGGAAAAATGATAGAGTTTTTTTTTTATTTTTTATTTTTTTTACCTTAAACCTCGTCCACTCTTCACAAAGCTTCCCCCAAATTCTTTAATGGATCTCGCCAGATAACATTCCCAAGAAAATTTATTCTTGTTGCTCCATCTTTTGCACGACACGTTTTTCCATCAACTTTGGATGCTTGGATTTGGCATTCTCAACGACTTCTACAGCAGCGACATTTGGTTACTTGCCCTCCTTGTGGCAGGTGTCTGTCTTCTGGACATGTGTCCCCTTCGCAGTCTACCCCACTCAGGGTCAGGAATCCTCTGCAGGTGTTGTGAGTCAATTAGCCGCTAAGAGTGACATTTTCTGTAAGCTGTTTCAACAAAAATGGCAAGAAATTAAGGCTTTTATTTTATGACATTACACATTTTTCCCACGATAAATGTAGACTGTACATTAGCTTGTTGGCTTGATTTTTATGTTTTTTTTCCAACAAGATTGCCTCCGCTAGCTTGTCGGTGATGTTTTAGTACAGCTAGCGGTTCGGTTCGTGATTTGAAGGTCGGTATTTTTTCTCGCCTCATTTGTTTTTTACAGGGCTCCGGAGGGGACATGGGGATTTTTTTTTCTTTTGCGAAGTAACGCAATACTTTTGCAAAAGAAAAAAAAATCCGCATGTCCCCTCCGGAGCCCCGTAGTTTCTTGTCAACTTTTCTTTTTAAACATTGGACCTTCTTACTATTAAATGCAGCTTCGTAACGGGTTATGGGTATTTTTTGTAAAAAAAAATAAAAAAAAAAAAAAATGCTAGTGGGAGGCAGTTTTTAATAATTAACTGAATTGAATTGAGATTTGTGGCAGCAATTTTCTTTTTGTGTATCGTTTTGTTAGTTTAGCCCCGACAACCACTTAAAAACCAGACTTTTTGGGTCGCTTTTAACCGCATGAGCGTTGGTCTAAATCACGACTGCTTAAAGAAAATAAAATAAAATGAATTGGGTTTCTCGAAACAAGCAGCAGACTGATACTAAAAACCTGCGACGGGACGTGAATCCGGGAACGGGACATGTTGACTGAGGAGTGAGGCAGAGGCTCCTACAACACGGGGAGGGGCAGGGCGGAGGAGGGCGAGCTGATCCTCAGAGTGTGCGCGCGAGAGGAAGGAAGGAAGCTAGGAAGGAAGGAACAGACGAAAGAGACCTGCGCGCACGCGCAGACGTTCTCGCGCACACGCGCACTCTCGCTCTCCTCTCTCTTTTGGCGGAGCCGCGGGAGAAAGAACCGGGGAGGGAAGAATGAGGAAGAGGTCCGCTGCGCCGCGCGCCTCCTCTCAGCGAATGCGGGTTTGCTGATGAAGCGCCGCTCCGGTCATCCGATCACACAGGTCACTCAGGTCGCGCTGCATGGAAACGAGGAGTAGGCAAGAAGAGCAAAAGATAAGGGCAACAAATAAGGGGTGGAAAAAAGAAAACAACCCAACCCAGTGTGCATGGGAATTCGGACTACTCTTCCCTCCCTTTGTGCGTCTCGGTGGTTGGATACGCTGTCTTGACTAGCGTATAAGAGCTCCCTGCGTCTCCATTACCGTTCCCCACTACGGGCTTTACCTCCGCCACCACTCCTCCTCCTCCTCCTCCTCCTGCTGCTGCTGCTTTTACTCCTTCTACTTGCTCGCATCGCAGAGAAGCCGCTTTACTACTTCACTACGAACCGTCAACTCCGGACTGAGAAGGTAGGACACGGACTCCTGGATGCTCATTTATTATTATTATTATATTTTTATGTTGCTTTTTCTCGTTTCATATGATTATCATTGCGGGGGGGTCCAGGTCTGTTTGACGGTGTCGTGTTGATGGATGCAAGTTTTTTGTTTTTTGGAGGGGGTGGATGTGTGTGTGGAGTAAGCTGGATGTAAGAAGAAGGTGAGTGTGTGTGTGTGTAGGGGGGAGGTTCTTGGTTGGGGGGCCCGTTTCGGAGACCCGAAGAGAGACTTGGAAGCACCATGCGTCAGATGGCTCTGGATGGGGATGCGTTCCCTCACTCCATCCTCACTCGCCGTGCTGCGCTTTTCATCTCTGATTCGAAAAGAATACAGTGGAGGAAAATAAAAACCTTTCCGGTTTGTAGACAGCTGCGTGAAGACGTAAGCTTTTTTTTCTTCTTCTTCTTCTTTAATTCTCACCCAGTTATTCCATTCATTATTCCAACCCCCCCTTCACGTTTAAGCCCATCCTCCTGCCTCACCTATTTATAGAGAGATGGTTAAGGATTCAGATCACGTAAGGATCGCCGCGCTCTCCTCGCCCCCTTTTATTGGCATCCACCGTGGAAGTTTGTGTGACAAACATGCGCAGTGCCCGTTAAACCTGTGCAAAGGGGCGGATGCGCACCGGGAGGCACTTTTACGCGCAATCCTGCCGGGCCTTGCATCCTTTGCGCCAAACGGCACCGGCGTATTGGGTGCGCTTTCAGGTGTGTGTGTGTGTGTGTGTGTGTGTGTGTGTGTGTGTGTGTGTGTGTGTGTGTGTGTGTGTGCGTATGCGTATGTGTGTGCAGCGGAAGTATGAATGGGCTCATTTATGACCATGTGGATTTCGACGTAAATATGAATAAATGTGATTTTTAGATAATAGGTTTTAGAGAGTGAAGTCTGGGTTGTACAGTATCAAAGTCAAACCAGCTTTCATTGCCCAGATATGACTCTAGATACAAGCTTCTTTTGTTCAATCAAGGTCCCCTCCCACCTCCCAGCTGACTTTTTTATGGGTATGACACAGAGCAACCATGAAGTATGAAATATTTATTTATGATGGCGAGCGGGAAAGAATGAAATGGTGCCAGGGGTCTGAATCTGCTTCATTTAGCCGTTTTTGGCAGGCTGACGGAACCGAAGGTCTCATGATGCAACAGCCATGCTTCGTTTTCAGGCAACGAGATGAGATCTGATAGGTTCCCAAATGATTAAAAGCTGCTTTTGTTCCTAGATGCGTGTTGGGAGTTTTGGGTGGCTCGGCATCAAGCAACCCTCCTCTCATTTTTCTCTTCTTTTGTTTTTTTATAATTAGCAGAGGTTGTAATCACAACTTTTTTTTCCTGGCTTGTAGCCAGTGCAGTGCAACAACTGACTGGTCAAAGGAGACGGTGGCAAACGAATGTCTAGGCAGAGATTTCTTGTGGTTGGAGGACAATGACATGAGATGCTACGCAGGCCATAAAGAAAATTAGAAACCGTAGGAGCCGTGCTTCAGCTTATGTTGATTGCAATCCTGCTTTTTCTTAGTCTCTCTCATGCACCATAGCGAAAGGCCCTTGTAAAAACTATAGCTTGCAGCAAATGGAACAATCTGATTTAAAGAAAGCTGACAGAGGGCCGACGTTGGAATTTTTATTTTATTCAAACTTTTTTGCTCGCTGCTCTCAACCCAATTGTTTTCTTCTTTTTTTTTTAAATTTATTTAAGAAAATATGTCAATCGCGAACTCAAACGTGGGTTCTCTTTGTAAACAAAGGTAGTTTGAGAGTTTGCTTAAAAACAATCTAAGATCAGTGTGAAGGTAACAGTTAGCTCCCGCTAGCGTCCTCGCTTATTTAAAATATGACTTTCAAAAAAGAAATACGCACAGCATGCAACTTTGATTTGAAAAGGCATCGCTCTAAGTTTTTTTAAACGTCTGAAAACAATCACATAAAACACCATAATGTTGCTGTCAGCTGCTGCTGTATTGCTCCTCTGAGTCTTATAGAAGCGTTGCAAACTTTTTGCGTTTTCCAAGCGACTTTCTCTGCTTATTCCCTGCCCTCTCTCTGATTTTTATTATTTTTTTTGACATATTTTTTTGAGATGCTGCTGTTTCCTGGAGATTGAGTTGCAGTCAGGTGAATGAACAGGGCTCCAGCTTACAGTCTACCTTTGGTGAACATGGAAATTGTTCAGCTGAGGGGGAGGAAAAAAACACAAAAAAGACTTGCCGGCAGTCTCTCTTGAAATGCAGGCAGGTGAACTCGAGCAGCGCAGTAGCAAAGGGATGTGAACGTTTTATGGTGAAAATTCCTCCTAAATGACCAAAATCGGCTGAAATACGAGATCTATTTGAACAGCCTTCCTCTGGTGCTTCATCTGAACTCTATTGCAAAATAGGAAAGGGAAATAATACAAAATAATGCACACAACCTCACTTCTAAAAACCCTTTTTAGCGCATTTATGTTACAGCCCGCATCACCATGATTCCTCCAAACCACACTGACTCATTCAAGATGGAGGATAAGTCATACTATTTTTTATTATTATTATTCCTTTCAACCTTTTGGTCACTGGATAACGTCACGGGGTTAGTTTTGGTGAAAGCAAAGAAGTACTTCAAAACAGTGAAACGAGTCAGCTGGCTGATCTTTGATCAGCAAATGTCACGTGTTTTATCCCTGACAAATAGATGAAGTGAAAATATTACCCTCATCAGAGAGTTTCCAGAAAATATGGGCTATCTTCTCTCCTCGGCAGCTTTTTGAATGAGGTTGGAGGAAATGATAAAAAGAGCCCATTTGTCGTTATAGTGGGGTCAGACCAGGATAGGAGTCAGACGTTTCTACCTCAGGAGAAATCCGTGTGCCAATTCCTAAACAGTCAGTCGGTGACTGACCTGGTTAGAATTGATGGAGGCGCAGCAAGAGGAGTTTTATCCTTCCACGGAGGACAAATCTGCTGGCAAGATCAGGTGTCGTGTTAAATCAGGGAAGATCTGTTGGAGCAGCCGGAGTTCACCGCTACGCTAAACCCTTATTAATGTAAACACGCATTAATAAGGGTTTGGAAATGGCTGATTGATATCCAGCCTAGAACTTGAGGTTTTTACACATTTACCGACCTAATTCATTTAGGGCTTTAGGACTTTTTTTCCCCTATAATGCAACAATCCTGTCAGGTTATTGGTTGTGTATTGGATCATGTTCGTCTGTCAATTTCCTTCTTTTTTTTAATGTCACGGCCCATTGTTTGTGTACATTGCTCTGTTGTTTGACCTGTTTTAGTCAGGCTTCGTCACTTTGACACATGGCTTCAGACTTGACTCCAGAATAAACAGAGGAGTTCAAGGTCATGTCATTGTCTGCAAGGGCTCAGATTCTTTGCTTCAAAATGACCTTGGACTATTTCTCCTTCATGTTTGACAGTTGACATGAGGATATTTTTGGTTTTCACAAGACATGATGCAGTATGGTCTTCCAAACTAGGACACAGACCAATTATGGTTTATTGAAGCCACTTTGCTGACTTCAGTTAATCATGGAATGATCTTATAATCAGCCTCAGATTCATTGATGGCAGCAGTTGCTTTGACCATGTCTTTGCTGATCATTTTCCCCCATTGGCTTTGTGTTTATGTATGTCCAGACCAGCAAATGGCCACAGAACCTGGTTTTACAATTGCCGCCGATCAATCAAGTGTTTGATTTGCAGAACCTCACTGAAGTTTTCCCTCATCAGTCCCCAGTTAGTCAAAACTGTGTCTCATTTTCTCTCAACCTTTCCTTCCTGCCCTTTTCATTGAGAGAGTAACGGGGAAAAAAGTAATCTTTTTTGGTTGTTGTCTGGATTAAAAACATCCAAGAGATGAATGTGTCTTCCAAACACTGATGCCAGTTCTGGGAAATAACTTTTAAGGCCATTTTTAAATGTTCTTGTTGGAAAAGTTGAATCATATCGCTTATCCCTAAAGACAGCAGACCCTATCTGAAGCTGCACCATGTCATTCACTTCTGCCGGTCCTCCTTAAAGCGGTCCTCTCTATAAATGATTAATCCAGTTAAAAGCTCATCATCCTGCTTTTCCACTTCATTTTGATGCCTCGTAATGTGAATAGCCTTTTGTATTTTCTTTGGATGTTCTTTGCATTTTATCACGATGTTGGATGTTTTTCTGTATTTTTGTTTTAGAAACTTACTTTGGCAATTCAGATTTCAGCATTTAATATCTAGAATTAAAATGATTCATAAAGGGGTGTAATAAAAATTTAGCTTGACGTAGCAATCCAAACTGATTCAAGAAAAATAAAACCCTTAAGCCGTTTAAACATAGGAGACCAAAAAAAATCCAATTTATTTTAAGGAACATGCAAAGCAATGTTGACTTCAATTAATTGTTGGAATACAATTGGGGGGGAAATTGAGCTCATCTTTGTGTATAAAAGCAGTTTATTTAAGATGTTTTTTGTTTTTTTTCCCACGTGTTACTAATTTGAAATGGCAGTGTTGATTACTGACCAAAGGATTAGATTTATGTTTTCAGGTTTAGATCTGGTCCTTCTGAGGTGCACCAAGTAAAAATTTTTTTACTTAAATGTCACTCACTGTTTCTCTGAAAATACAGCTCATCTAAAATGTCATTGAGCTGCTAGTGGCTTTTTATTAATTAGTTGCCTGATAGGAAGAAGGGCAGACACACAGTGAGTGGCCTGGGGTCTGGAATAGACTCCCTATGCGATGCCACTGCTTTCTATTGTGAGCTGCTTTGGTTGGATTTACCCAGAATGCCTTGTGCTGTAGTCTGCTTCCTGCTTTTGAGGCGGTCCTGTCCGCCTGCATCCACATACGCATTCAAATCTGGAATCAAATACTGTAGTGATCCAAGGGGAAATTGAATGTTGTAACTTGTATCAATTCAGATTCTTCAGAGTTGATCTAGATAGCAACGGCTGTTGGTAGAAAAGATCTCTCGTAGCAGTCTACATTACGGTGAATCTGAAGAAGCCTCTGACTGAAGACACTCTGTTTTTCCAATATAGTCTCATGAAGAAGATGATCAGGGTTGTTCATTATTTTCTATTCTTTTCTATGAAGAATCTCTCTTTGCCTCATCATCTCCGGAGGTTTCGCATTTGGCCACAATTCACTTCAACCAAGCCGAGACCTCGGCCTTTAGACGGACCAGAGTTTGCATTTTTGATCCGCATCAGAAATGGATTGTGCATTCATCCTGTCCCCAAATGAATCTGACTTCCTAAACAAACAAACTAGCGTAAAATTAAAGTGGACTAAATAGAGCTGGTGTGAATGCAGTTGTAAAGGAACCCAACATATTTGCAGGGTTTCCCTCAGTGTATTATAAGCCTGGCTGTCCACCAGGCTTTACTTGTGCCCCCACCAGGCTAAGCACTGTTAGTTTAGCCTAGTTTTTTTTTTTAATGATTGCCTTTTTAAGACTTTATAGTTAGTGTTTAGGTATTAATCTTTCAGTTTTCCACAGATGCATAACTATCAAGTAATATTTTTAAATTTTCCGTCAACTTTAAACATTTTTAACTGAAAAACTTGCCGGCCAGCTGGATGACTGCCCTCGTGCTCTCGGGCACCGCGCGTAGCAAGTTTTCTGGGGTAAATCCTGGGTTTGCATTCACTGTATGCATTGGAGCAAAGTCACTCATTGGTAGTTGGCTTTCTTTTGAACCAGCTATAAATTTGGTTTTCCATTGTTTTGAACATTATTGTGGATCTAGTAAGACTTGTGTAAATATGTCAGTGGACAGATGGACCCAGACAGTGAGTGGGAAGTAATTACGTGTGTGTGTGTGTGTGTGTGTGTGTGTGTGTGTGTGTGTGTGTGCCAGATTGATCACTTTCTTTTCTCCAAGTGTTTTAACATGAGGATGATTTGGCTTGAATGGTTTCTGGGCAGACTTAGAGTAAAAGCTCCATATCAGTCTTAATGATGGTAAATGTGGACAGTTTATCTTCAGTTCCCTGCCGGGGCTACTTTGTATCCATGTGTCCTTGTTTGTTGTGCATCTACACAAAATCCGAAAGGTTTTATTATTTACTTCTTTGCAGGACATAATTGAGTATTTTGTTTTTAATCCTTTCATTTACACCTCATTTTAGTTTTTTTTATGAATTTTTTTAAACCATAGTATGTTTTTTCCCCCCCAATATTTTTGTTTTTCAGTATTTGCCTCTGACAAATGGCAGCGTTGGGACCAAAGCAGCGGCTCGCATGGTTTTAGTTTCTTCAGCTTTGTTTTTTTTTTTACCGTGTGCCTTTGGGAATCCTGTTTTATGGCTCCTATTTCTGGGCGTGTTGGTTTCTTTTTTTGTTAATGCCACTCATAAGACAAGCTGTAATACATTTTGAAAACATAATTTTCACCCCTAAACAGTTCAAGATGTCAAACATCTACGAAGTGCTAATTTGAATTCAGTGCTTAAATAAAAACCCGTGCCACATTTTCAGCCATAGGCATTACAGTTTTAATTGAAGTTATTCCACTAAACAGACTAAACTTTGGTTTTGTAACAGATTTTTGGGCTCCCAGGACATTTTATAGTTTGAGATAACTTTGGCTGTGTTAAAATAAACGACATAAAATGTCACCACTGTTGTGATGTGTTATTAAATTGATTTGCTTGTACTTAATATGTATTTAATGATTTAATTGTTTTCTTCATCCTTCGGCTAAATAGATCAATTTGTGTCCATCAGGCCTTTTTTTGGTGCCATTTACTCCCTTTCTGTATAAATTTTAAATACTCTACCATTTTTTTTTCTTTTTAGTTCCTTCAAAAGTTCAGCTTTGTGTTTACTCAATTAGGAGAAGGTAAATTAAATTTTATCCCTCTGATGGGGAAAGAAATTAACTTTTTATTACTTATGCACAAAGTACAGCAAATGATTGGAATCAGGATTACTGCCAATGATTTTACACTCCTGGGCTTGGATGTTAACCCTAAAACAAATGCCCTTTGCACATGTGGCTAAGGGGAGTTTTTTTTTTTCTTCCCTCCAAAGGTTCTTTTTAAAAGCTGAAAGTCGTATTCGCGAGGTTGGAAAAAGTAGAATATTTGGTTGGAAGGAAGCTACTCATGGCTTTCATTAGAGAAGTTGCATCAAAACTATTTCTATACCAGTCATTTAAAAGAACATTTACCCGTGTCCAGTAGGAACACAAAATGAAGGTTTTGCGTTACAAAGTCGCCATGGTTGACCACATTTTATTCAGGGGGAATGTCGACTGTTGCCAGATAAAACTTAACATCACAGGTTGTTCTCAAATAAAACTGAACGGAAAAGGCCACCAGTCCCACTCTCAGCTTGGAGTTAAATAATTTCCAATCCATCGGTCTGTGACATAAAATCCTGCTGGAAATATAAGTTTGTGGTTGTAATGTGACAAGAAGTGGGACAAGGCAATGTGTTCTTCTATATTCCATTACAGATCAAACCCATTTCATTTGATTTTTGTCTCACTTTAATCTGCTAATGAATGTCACAAATGTCGCTGTAGTGTAGAAAGAAAAATAATGCCTCTCATGTTGGCGCCAAAACGGACTCCGGTTGTAAACCATTGACTATTTCCGCAAGACGTTTTATACAAAATTACTGGAGATAAAATCTTTGTGATGCTCTTTTCCAATCTTCTGAATGGTACAAAGAACAGCAAATAGTTGAAAGAACCTCCTATTGTCTCCTATTTGCTGCGGTGTGAGATGACGAAAAGGAAAAAAAAAAAAAAGACCCAAACTAGCACCATGTATTATTTTAATGTTTTTTTCCTGAAACCGCTGTGCAGCTTTGGAAGAGAGAGAGGGCGTCTTCATCAGTTTATTTATTTCTGTTGAAATATTTGCAGTGAAACGACTATTAGAAAACCTCGCAGTGATTAAAAGGTTCAGATTGCCAATGAAATGTATTTATGACCCGTTGACTCCAGCTGACATTGTGCAAACAAGTGCACCATATTTGTATTGCTGTGTTTAAATTGGGTGTTGTGCATCAACCATTTTTTTGTCTTTCTCCTAATGAATATGAATGTTGTAATTCTCCTAGGACTCAGAACATTAATGCACAGCATCGTACCCGGTACATGATTTCAACACGGCTTGTTCTCTCTTCAATATTAAAATGTAAATGTGTTCCATTTGATCATAATCTAGGAGCGCAGCATTCAGTAAGCTGATTTAATGACTGTATGCATGTCTAGTTAAAACAGGTAACACCTGTGCGGTGTCATTAAACCGTTTCAAAAGTGACGTCCCTCGGTGAAAAGGGCCAAGGCTGAATTTCAGCTACTTTTGTTTTAGGAAGGAATTAAGTCTAAATCTCACACACCCAAACCCACAGACATTTTTTTCTACTATTTAATTAACAATTTTTTTTTCTTGTCTCTCTCTCTCAAGGTTCAACATTCCCATTAACCTTCAGCTCCTGGTCCCGGTCTCGCCATCAACATGGGCTTCAGGTGTCACTCCTCTGCCCTGTCTCCTGTGCTGAGACTCGCGGTCGTTACTGTGATCCTCCTCCTCAAACCCCGGAGCGCGCTGGCCGGTACCGCTCCTGAGCACAGCCTGGGCAGCTCCGTTTCGGCGGTGTCTACAAACAAAACTGAATGCAGCAAGGCTGAGCAGTGCACAAACGGGGTAATGCTGCCCGTCTGGGAGCCGCGAAACCCGTCCTTTGGAGATAAGGTCGCCAGGGCGACGGTTTACTTTGTGGCTCTGGTCTACATGTTCCTCGGCGTGTCGATCATCGCGGACCGCTTCATGGCATCGATAGAGGTCATTACGTCACAGGAAAAAGAGATCACCATCAAGAAGCCCAACGGAGAAACCACCACAACGACGGTCCGGATCTGGAACGAGACGGTCTCCAACCTCACCCTCATGGCGCTGGGGTCGTCCGCTCCAGAGATCCTGCTCTCCGTCATAGAAATAATAGGGCACGGGTTTGAGGCCGGCACACTGGGCCCCTCCACTATTGTGGGTTCGGCGGCGTTCAACATGTTTGTCATCATCGGGCTGTGCGTGTACGTTGTGCCCGACGGCGAGACGAGGAAGGTCAAGCACCTCCGAGTCTTCTTCGTCACGGCAACCTGGAGTATCTTTGCCTACATTTGGCTCTACCTGATCTTGTCGGTGATCTCCCCCGGCGTCGTGCAGGTCTGGGAAGGCCTGCTCACTTTCCTCTTCTTCCCCATCTGCGTGGTGTTTGCCTGGGTGGCAGACCGCCGCCTGCTGTTCTACAAATACGTGTACAAGCGCTACCGCACCGGCAAGCAGCGTGGCATGATCATCGAGACCGAGGGGGATCGTCCGCTTCCCTCCAAGGTAAGCCTTCAGGTTACGACACATATGCTATATTTATAAGTTTGATGTATTTGTTGAGACTAAAACCATGATCTGTGATCACATTTAGATTCCAGGCTTTGTCAGAGCATTTTAAACCAACAGACGGAAAGTGGGCCCTGATTTTTAACCTACGCTTGTGTGTTTATCAGAACAGCCAGCCAGTATAAAGAGCACCAAATTGTCATTCTTTGTTTGTCCGCACATTGCAAAAATTCATTTTATCAGCAGCAAAGTATCAGGTAAATGGAAATCACACACATGCACATAAAAGGAGGCAATAAAAAATAACATAGAGATAGTTCAGTAGTATCACATTCACACAATGAATTAGACGCTCTCAGTTCGCTGCATGACTTCCTGGGTATTTTGTATTTAAAGCTGCTAACAGCATAAGTGTATTAAATGCCATCAAGGTAAACTGATGCAATTAAACCTATCACTGCAAACACAAATAACCTCTGTAATTTAATCCATTTCCTGTTTTTGACTCCCATCAGATGCTTTGTGTGATGAGGCAATGCATTTATGTAACTACATTTCCATTGCTGTGGTGAAAACCGCCCTTTTATTTTTTCACTCGCTGGATTAGTTTTGTTTTGTTTTTTTGTTGTAAATTTTGGAAACTGTAACTTTGAAACTTTGGAAAGTGCCAACAATATTTCTGAAGGAAGAGTTTCATAACTGCAGATTAGGCACTTGGTTTTGAAAATTTTAATCTTTCTCTTCACTGGCAGATACCTACCTGCAAAAGAAAGACTGATCACAATAAAGAACTAGAATTCAGATTAAAGCAGGATCCAGATTTGATTTTAGTCTGAATTGTTTTACTTGACATGGCTAAAACATATTCTAACAATTTAAGATTTAGATGTTAAGTCTTATGTGTTATACCAACAAATAATTGAATAAACTATTACCACTTTATTCAATGGGAATAACTTGAAATGCATTCACTTTTTAGTTATTAAAAAAAATGCTTTACTTTTTTGTAAATCCAAGTTGTTCAAACGTGTTTTCTCATACTGATTTTTGTCCGATGCCGAGACGCCGATGTTTACATGCCACTTAAGTTCACTCAGTTTTGTTTTATGACACATTTTATTTTTTCTAATCCGTTTCTGTAAAATGTTGGTCTCCACTCCACTACAAGGTTAAGATGGTTTCAGTAAAGCTGCTATATTGTTGGGTTTTTTTTCTCAAAACTTTAAGAAACACTAAATTAGGTTTATTTCAATCATTTACAGTAATATTTCACACTGAATATATGGCTGCTAAGTCTTCAGTGAGCACTCGTCTTGCCTCTACTGAGGATCTGAAGGTGGAGGCTAATGCTAATGTTCTTCTATGCAGTGATTTGGCAATTGCTTTAAGTTGAAGTACATTGAATTCAGTTACAAATGTAACTTTTTAATACAGCTCATTTTGCAGTTTGCATTGCACTGATAGACCAGATGCTGCAGCGAGCAATGCAGTCGCTCATTTGCTTCCATTTTATAAGGACATTCACCATAAAAGGTTAGAACGTTTAGCTTTGGTAAGTGAGTGGTTTTCACTTGGTGTTTTCCTTTTTACTAATACGACGACACCAAGGCGTCAAAGTGCAACCAAGCTGATAGTTGAAACCAGCAGGAGTTGGAATTATTGTTAGACATTAAGAAGTATGGTAATCTACCAAGATCAATTATTTTTTTATCCTTCAAATTATTAACTACTTTTCTCCTGGGCTTTTTTTTTTTTTGGGAGGGATTGTCTTGAAAAACCAAGAAAAAAAAAAGAAAACAGTCCAATTTATTGCCGCTAAATAAATAACAATACATAGAAACAACAGAGAAATGGAAATGTTTATATCACTGGACACCAACACTATGCGTCCTTAAGGGACAAACACAGAGTGGCCCCTAACAAGATGATTTCATAATGTGTGTGTGTGTGTGTGTGTGTGTGTGTGTGCGCACAAACTTGTTTTTATATTTCATCATTTGAATCTGAAATAGAAAAGGAAGGAATTATCCTTTACGGATTTTGTAATATTTTGAGAAGTTTATTTATTTTTGTCTGTTATTTTTTTTACCTTTTTTTTCAAAATAATTTTTTTTTTTTTTTAGGTGGACATTGAGATGGATGGAAAGATGCTGAATTCTCATGGTGTTGACTTCCTGGACGGCCCACTGGGTTTGGACATAGACGAGAAGGATCTGGACGAGGAGGAGACCCGCAGAGACATGGCCAAGATCCTGAAGGAGCTCAAACAGAAACACCCCGACAAGGAGGTCAGTATCACGGCTGAAGGGATTCATTGTCACAGCTGCCTCACTTGGACTTTTTTCCTCCAGGTTTATTTCCCCTGGAGGAATTAAAATGACAAAAATCTGCAACAGACGAGACGCAGTTCTGTGGCAACATGTTGGTTAAAAAAAAATAAAATAAAAGGACCCTGGGATAACAGACCTACTCTGCTTTGGTCTTAATGCCACACAATTTTTATTCACAAAACATTTCACCTGGTGAACGATGTGCTGCTTGGGTAAAAGAGTCGCAAATATCCGAGGACTGTTGGTCTTGTTTTTTGCTGCTGCAGTACGTTGTCTAAAACTTTATTGTGCAGCTCGTCAGATGGGACAGCTCTCACACCTTTTTGCGGTTTATTCGGTCAGTTGTGTTTAGTGTACATTTGTTTTCACCTTAATATTTTGGATTGACATGCACCATATCTCAAGCTGTCTCATTCTGGCGTGTGTTTTTCTTGGGGGGGATTTGCTTAAAGTCCTATAGCAAAAAGAAACTGCATACTCTAATATTAAATACTGTTCTTCATGAATGAAATCCAGAAATAAAATTAAAATGTTTAAATTGGCTAATGTGCTACAGCCAGGACTAGAATGACTAGTCACAATGCTTTTTTAAGAAAAAAGCTAAAAGGACAGGAATAGTGTGGAGAAACTGAAAAAAAAACTCACTTTATTTCTACTTTTATTCATCCATTCTCTTTAAAAATAAAACATTTCAAGTATGAGCTGAAAATTAGGATTTCCAGGTTATTATCCATAAGATTTTTAGCATATTTAAACATTATACCTACACGTAGAACAGTCGATCAGCCTTTACATTGATGATGGCATATTTATTTATGTAAAATAGTTTTATCTGCTGCCACACAGGGTTAAGTTTCTGAAGGCAAATAACTTATAAGACTCGAACAACGATGCACATGTTTCATGGAAAACAGAAACATGTGCATCTGTTATTTGTAGTGGAATATTTGTCTGCACATGCAACTACAAAGGGTTCAGTAAAGATCCATCTGGCCTTTGAGGATTTTGGCGTAGATAGAAGATAATTTGCTGAAGTTGCGTTCAAAACGAAGCTCATCCTCTCCATTGATTTAACTCTTTGATAGTTTGACTTTTAACGATTAAAGCCAATTGATTGTAGTGTAAACTTACAGAGAGGAGGTTTTATAGTGGCAAGAAATATGATCTCCATAGCTTGATGACAATATCACAATATTTTAAGGTTTATCTTCTTGTTTATCCTGTATTCAGTTTTTTCATTATTATTATTCTTTTTTAGGTAATCAACTGTTAATCATGTTTTAGTCAATCATGTTTATCTGCTAGACGTTGGACTCCAGTGTATTTACTTTGCATCTCTTAGATAATCAGTTTCATCAGTGATGAGGGACTCAATATATTTAAATCAAAATCTTTTCAACTGCTTTGGTGAAAATAATTTAATTTTTTTTCTCTTTCCAGGTGGAACAACTCATTGAACTTGCCAACTACCAAGTGCTGAGCCAGCAGCAGAAAAGTCGAGCTTTCTATCGTTGCCAGGCCACCAGACTCATGACGGGCGCCGGCAATATTCTGAAGAAACACGCTGCGGACCAGGCCCGAAAGGCGGTCAGCATGCACGAGGTCCGCTCCGACGCCGGCGACAACGATCCCGTCTCCAAGATCTTCTTCGAGCCGGGCTCCTACCAGTGTCTCGAAAACTGCGGCACGGTGGCTGTGAACGTGGTGCGGCGAGGCGGTGACCTGGGCAAGACCGTTTCTGTGGAGTACCGGACGGAAGATGGCACGGCCAACGCCGGCTCCGACTACGAGTTCACGGAGGGGGTCGTCATGTTCAAGCCGGGCGAGACCATGAAGGAAATCCGCGTGGGCATCATCGACGACGACATCTTCGAGGAGGACGAAAACTTCCTCATCCACCTCTCCAACGTCAAGGTGCTGACCTCCGAAGGTGAGGAGCCGGAGGAGAACGAGTCGACCAATCACGTGGACTCCGTGGCCTGCGTCGGCATACCGTCGACGGCCACCGTCACGATATTCGACGACGACCACGCCGGTATCTTTACGTTCGAGGAACCCGTCTGCCACGTCAGTGAGAGCGTTGGCACAATGGAGGTGAAGGTGCTGAGAACGTCTGGAGCTCGCGGTGTGGTCATGCTGCCCTACAAGACTGTGGAAGGGACTGCAAGGGGCAACGGGGAGGACTTCGAAGACGCACACGGCGTCCTTGAATTTCAAAACGACGAAATCTTGTAAGTAGCCTCTGAGCATTATTTGATTTCAAATCATGATAACTGCATAGTAAGATTTGACTTTTACAACCACAATTTATGGTTGAGAAAATGAGTTTGTCCAGTTGTGCTGGAAACGATGTGGGAAGCAGAGATGTTGGTTTGATGCGGTGGCCACATGAAGCGGCGTGGCGGACGGCTCTGCATCAGTGATCCAGGAGATCCAACAATCCCGCACCTGTTAGCTTCTACCCCCTCCCTCTTTCAATTCCTTTTTTTCCTCATTTCATCTCATTTATTCTGATTGAACTTCGCAAGCCTGTGATTTACTTCGTCATGCCGTCGTTCTTCCTGAGAGAACGCATTGATTTCTCCACCCTGTTGTTCCTGCGCAGTCAGCACAATGGCTTCAGCCTCCACTGCTTTGGGAGAATGGAGTTACTGGTTAGGTGGCTGCTGGTTTGAATTTTAATCAGATGGAATCTCCTCGTGTTGGAAACTGCGCGTCTTTTAGTGAGATGCGCAAAGGCAAACCGGGAGTAGCTGGTTTTGCTGGAAAGGGTTCAAAAATTCCAGCAGCAGGATGTCGGTAAATGCCAAGAAAGAACATGTGTTTTGTTGACTTCAGTCTGAAGCACAAAAGCCTTTTAAGCCATAAATCAAGTTGCTCTTTTAGGTGGCCTTATACCTTGTGAAAACCTCCCCGGGCAACTGATTGTTGCAAGCTGGTGGCTTTTTTTTGTTGTTTAGTCAGTGAAAAGGGGCTTAGACCTTTAATTTAAGAATCCTGCAGTGAAAGGATGAATCTCCTGTTCAAAGCTTTACTTAACAGAGTACTTGTCGGATGGTGAGTCATGGTAAGCATTGTGATTGTGTTGGACCACATTACAGGAAGCCTTTTGGCTCCATGGGTAAATGCAGCATCTGTAATCTTCATTGTGAACCACTCGGTGTGGGAAACTTGATCCAAATATCAACTAGGACGTGGATCACAGCCACCAGGGTTTTAATTCTTAACAATCTTTTTACTAGATATTTGGATATTAGGCTTCATCAGGTTGTATTTAGACCTGTAGTTTTTCATTTATTTATTTGTTTTTGACATTTCCTCATATCGTATTTAAGGGAAGAAAAGCTGATCAATCAAATTCCCATGATGCTCAGCTCTTTGTTTCAAATGATTTCCTGGAAGACTCAAGATGTTGATTTCTCGTGTCGTTTTACTTTTGTCGAACACGACGCCGGTGCTTCCACCTCGTCTCCATTCATTGGTCTTTTTGTCCTGGCCTTTAGATTTAAGCAGGATACAATAAACTCTCCAATTTCAGGAGTTTATCCACGTATGGCCAATTAATGAGAAATTTTTGACAATATTAATGCAGGACTATAATTTGCTCATAAAAAGGGATTCACAAAGATCTGTCATTGGTTATTTTGACAGACCTCATTAGAGCTGACCTACTGCAAGTTCCTCTCCAATAACTCCGAAATGAGATCTTGAATTACGTTTGCTGATGATGTATTACAGATTTACTGGACTCTTCAGATGGTTAGAATGATTCACTTTAGATTCTAATAAATCAATGTAAACTAATTTTAGGGTCGTGGTTTGTTGGAGTCAAAACGTGCTGAGATGTCTTCTGTACGCTGTAGTTGCTGGTATTGCTGGAAGAGTTTTGATGAGCTAATATGTCTGCTGAGTGTGTTGAGTAACTCCAACTTGATTCCCCGATATTCCTTTTATGCAACAAAGTGGAAGCAGCAGGTCTGAATCGTATTTTTTCTTCTTCTTTCTGATGGATTGCATCATAATAAACCTGTTGAGCATACAGTTTTAGTGTCAAAATTGACTAATTTTGTGTTTGGATGCTTATAATGGTGATATTTCATCGATTTTTTTTAATAAATAGCAAATCCCACTAGTTCACTGACTCATGATGAGAACAAAGCTTCCTGGCCAAATCAAAGGCAGCATGAAAGCTCACTTAGGATTAACATGACCTTCAGTATATCATCATTAAAGTAGGATTTCTTGGAAACCAAAAGCGAACTTGCAGTCCTTTTCAGACATTGGCTTTGCCTGTTTGACCCTCTAGATAAACTGTTTGTTTGCAACCAAGCCCGACTCAAGCAGGATTTTTAATCATATCTTTGAATGCAAAATGGAGCAGAAAGTAGAAACTGGCCGATATGAAAATAATTACGTTTGCTAATGAGTCTTCATATTCACGTGCGACCGTCTCATCAGAGATTGCGGTAAGCAGTCAAGTCCATAGATGTAACCAGAGGGTGATTTCTAAATGCGTCCTGCAGGCCTCGGTTCTGGTCTTCAGCACCTGTTGATCCATGATGAGACATGACATGCATAAAAATAACTTCAAGATGGTTTACCTTTAATGACTGCTCTTGAATTCACCCTTGAATTAATGTTTTCTTTAAACATATGTTTGCTGCTAACTTTCGTTCCTGTTAATTATGAGGATTTTCTGCAGCTATATTGCATTCGCGCTAGTATTACGTTGACAATAAACATTTTAGCGAACAATTAATTACTACAGAAAAAGTTTTAATACCTGCTTAAAGGCCAGGTTTAATCAATTCTAATTAAATATTACTATAATGTGTTGTAGCAAACAAGGTAACATTGGGGCAAAAAATGAATGAGTAGAACATTTGATGCAATTAGCGTTTTAGGAAACCTAATTACCGTTGACTGCTTAGCTCTAAAGGGCTTTATTATTTATCTTTTAGCATAGCTCTAGCAATTGAAAAGTGTAAATTTAGGTTTAAAAAAAGTGAAAAATGATGGTCTATCAATTTAATGGACTCAAAGGGACATCTGGTAAATTTTCTTGCTTTTTGTTGGGTGTGATCAAATTCTCAAAATAATATGAACTTACATGAGTCGAAGTAAAAAAAATAACAAACACATTACCCTTTAGTTTTTTGGAATTACAAATAAAGACGGCTGGTCGAAAGAAGATTGCCTGCAGATTGACTCGTAGCGCGGATATTTTTTCTTCAATAAAGGACAGATCAATAATGGGAGGCAGCCATGAAAGATGAGTTTGACTGGATGTGGAGATTGGACACTGAAAAAGAAGATAGCACAAAGTTTTGCCCTCTCAAAAGTTTTAATTTTCTTTATGGCCTATTCCCCCCCATGCTTTGTGTTTCTGTCTTCCATTGTGGCTTGAGCGTTGACTTTCACGCATCGAAAACGTCCGAGGAGCAGGATTGCCTTTGTGGTGAAAAGGGTGAGCAATGACCAAGCATCTTAAGATTGGAGAAATTCACATAAAATACCATTCCCTGTTTGCATTGCTAATTCTGTCAGGCTAACACAAAGCATTTGACACGCACTAGTCACATTTTTCATTTTTACCCCCTCCCTAAAGTATGAAATAAGTAGCTCAAGTTACATAATTTCCATAGTCAGGGAGCCCGTAGAGAAGCATGGTACAGTTGAAAATCAAATTATGCTGCCTCCTACACGCACGCAGCGAGCAGACTGCGACTTCACACTCCAGTAACCGGCATAAATTGGCCATGCGACACACACACACCTTCACAAGGACAGAAAAACAATGTGTACGCAATATTAGATGCTTGTTGGATAGGTCGACTTTTATTTTGTCTCCTGGTTGGACCTGAGCTGCTGTTCAGTAAAGAAATGCAATCAGAATTGGAGTCTGTCCGGCACACACAAAAGCAGAATAAACAAAGACACTCATATTTTCTTTCATTCAGTCACTGTGTTAGAAGTGGGTAATTGTTCGACACGCAGAGTCCTGCACGTGTTAAGAATTGCGACATATTTCCCAAACAACAATTCCGCCCGACAACAGTTGGCAAAAGCGTACAAACGGATGAGAGTGTGCTTAGAAATGCGATTTGACCTAATCTCTGTTGGTGGTTTTTCTTTCGACTCTGTGCTTTATAAAGTCATTATTTTTACTAAAAAAAAAAAAAAAAGGTCATGATTATATTTTTGTTGTTTTGCCCAACCCACAAGCTGGTACTTTCTTGAGCCGAATATTTTTATTTCTCTCTTTTCAGTGTGGAATTGCCTCAATTGAACTGGTTTGGGTTTTGACATTACCGTTTTAATGTCCTCTTTTCCTGACTTTTTATATTATGCACTTCTTTGTGCTGACCAGTGACCTCCAATCCCGGTACATCACACAGATGTTTGGGGTTAAATATCACTAAATGTGGAAAAAGTTATGAAGTGATTCAATGACATGTACCTCTATTTTTTCTTTTTTTTTTTTTATAGCTTGACATTTTTTGAGTGTGTGTGTGTTTCAATTGCTCTCTGTTAGCCAGAACTCCCATAAAGAAGAATTTAAAAAAAAATTTTTTTTAAATCATGGTAAAATAAAGGTTAAGCAAGTACTTTTGCAAGGCACCAACTAATCCCTCTTTACCGGCAGTGGACAGACTGAAATCTGTTCAGTTTTTGCCAGATTGCGCCGGCGTCTTTTGATTCGTTTGTTTGGCACTGCCGATCGAAGCGGACCAGAATCTGCTCTGAAACGCAGACACAAACCCACACAAGCTGTGCTTTAGGAGGTGTGAAGGTTGTTCTCATGTTGCAGGGAACATTGTAAAACAACACCTCTCTTGGCAAGAGGCTCACACCTGTTATAGTTCGTGTTTGAAAAGGAGGGGGAAAAAAACAAAAAAAAACCCAGTTGATCTTATGATTTCCGTCAATGGGAAACTCAAAACGACACACTGGGGACGCACTCCAACAAACCGTTTTATTTTTCGGATTCTTTTTTAATTAGCGCCTACACTTTGCTCATTTTGAGAAATTAAATTGGCCGTTGAGGGAAAATAGTCACAAAAAAGGTTTGCGTCACCAAAAATCTGTTTTCCATGTCCCAAGAAGCAGTGATCCCTCCTTTTACCTACTGCCACATAAAGGTTATTTGGCAACGCCAGATGCAACCCTCTTGTTAGATTGTGTTACAACATCGTATTAAACAGATGCCTGAACTGGACTGCCGTGCGTC